TCACAGAGACTGTGGGTACTCAGTTTGGGCTGTTTGGGGACCAGGAATGAGAGATGGTCTGGGAGTTCTGGACTAAGCAGCTGGATGAGGAGGATCTGGTTGAAAATGGTGAGTTTGGGTCGCTGGAGACTTTATGGGAGAGCTTTCTTTGTAGCTCTGATATGTCTGTTTTTTTTTTTTTTTTGGTCTCTGAGAAAGTCTGCACTCAAAATGACTCACTGAACGGATAAATGAGAAAGTGAGTTTTAAATGCATTTACAAAGAAAGGCTGTCGGCTTTGCTGTGTTTCTGCTGATGCCTTTAACTTTTAACACGGTGGAGTTTAATCATTAGGACCACTTTACGACTCATCAGGCACTGAGTCATGTGGTTAATGTTTCTGTGCTGCAGCTTACGTGAGAAAAATGGATGTTTTTGGTGGCTGATGTGTGTGTATACAGCTGTGTATGTCGGTGTATTTGACATACTGGTCTACAGCAACAATACGTGTGTGTGTGTTGTGCATTTCCTACTTCATACATGTTTGGGGTAACAGAAGCTGTTTTGTTCCTTTTTTTTACACAGTCATGACTTTATATCTCAGGTCAAACTCCGATCCTTACTACTTGTTTTCTTTAGTTGTCTTTGTTTTTTTTGTTTTTTTAGCATTCACTCGCTAGTGTTATTCTCTTAGTGTGTTTGTTGTTATGTGATAGTGTTTTCTCAAGACTTCACTGAGTCTCTTTGGGCCATCATGAGTGAGGTGCAAAGGTCAGTCACGTTTTTTTTTTTTTTTTTTAATAGGGGCGAAAGAAAAGGGCACACAAGGACTTGAATGATGGCAATGAGTAAAGTTTAAGTTTTGTAAGTTGTTGTTGGCTATATGTAGTTTTTCGATGAAATCACTTATTAATAAATCATATTTTTCTGCCTTATTGTCAATGGGCTCAAACCTCACTTAAAAATGATGGTCAAGCCTGTTTTCTCTGTTGCTTGCATCAGCCACCATTCTGTTATTAATGTGAGGACACCGGGTCGGGATGTAGCCCTGTGCGCGCTCCCGAGCCTGAGCCTCTCCCTGACTACGGCAACACCACAGCTAACGACATGCAGTCCACAAACACCACAAAATAACCGGCTCCCAGCATATCAGAGACTCCAACAACAACTCCACGTAAGGATAAAAACAACAATAAAGGTTTATGTGATGAAGCCCGTCAGACCAAATGAGATTCAGATAATGTCAGTGAAAACAGTGAACATCAGAAAGGGTGGAGTCATGAGAGTCACGGTTGCCCGTTGGCTCACGCCGAACAGTTGCTAACATTATCCGGTGCAATATATAATATGTAACATTATAGCTTTTCACATTACTTTACCAGCTAATGCGACCCATATTACTATTCTGTTTACCACCGGTATTAAATTGTTGATTTAGCCTGCAAGAAAGCAAATGTGGAGTGATTTGTTTACTAGCCTATAGTGATCCAAGGCTCGACAGCCAGCTAACGTTAGCACAGATCCACCGCTGTTTGCTTTGTAGCGTTCAATTTAGATTTATTGATGTTTTACTGATACTCATGATGTATCACATCAGCTAAATGCAGTAAATGTAACATCATCATGTAACCAGCATGGTTTGGTTCAAACCAAACCAACATGGCGACGTCCATGTAAGAGGACCCGTGGTGAATGTAGATAGAAATTCCTTTATCCTTTCCTTTATACACCACTAAAACCAAGTTATGGATATTATATTGCATTTCTGTCAATAGAACCTCCTAAATATTAAACACTGAACCTTTTAAGTTATTTACTTAAGGAATAAAAATAACATGTACTTCTGTCATCCAAAGATGGAGTGTAGAGAAATCGAATCAGTCAAAGTCTGGTAAAATTTGGCTATGGATCGTACTGTATATCTCTCTACAGTGGATGATTTTGAGGTTCTCAATAGGGTTGAGACATGAGACAACAGATTTTAAAACCAGAAAATGTGGATGGGCAAGACATTTTCAGCAGCTCGTTTAAAACCTTTAAACGCAAATGAATGTAGTAAAAATAATTTTTGACTGTTTCAGTCTTGAAAAATGCAACCCGACCACCCCAGGGTACCAGGCTTTATTTGTAAGATGCAATCAAACTCTGCACTTCAGCGTCCCTCCCCTGTGATCCCTCGGGAAAGTTTGTCCAGAAAGTCGGGTGTTTGTCAATGTGGTGCACTTCCCGTCTTGTTTACTGGGTGGCTCGGAGGTTGCTTCTGGTCCGGATGTGGCTCGCGAGCCGCCAATTAAAAAGGCCGATATCATGGTGAAAAGATAACTTGTACTATAAAAGAGGATTTTATTTCTACTGCCAGCCCTGGGTCTTTAAACTGTCAAAGACAATGGCTGCCTCTTTGGCTTGATAACCAACTTTGACTCAAGATATTCAAATGAGCTTCTGTACAAATAGCAGATTAATGTTGTTGCATCTCCACAGCGTTTCAAAGGTTTTCAAACGGACTTTGATGGAGGGTCATGTGGCTAATTGCAGCCCGAGCATTTTTCATTCATTCATTCATTCATTCATTCATGAATGACACTTACCCATCACGGTGCAGGGTCATGATGGTCATATGATCTGGAGCACATTCCAGCATTTTACAGCAAGGGTCATTGATTTAGGAGAAGCTTTAACATGCCAGCAGTACAAGAAATAGTTTTTCCTGGTTTTAAATTTAAACCATTTTGTCGCTTTATTCGTGCTGCCAGACAGTGATTATTATTACAGCACTCCTCCCTCTGCAGATGTCTCACTCACACCTGGCTCTAGTTACTTTATAGGTCTCATTACCATCAGCTGACTCCTTCCCTTTAACCTTATAGATGCTGATGTGTTGCATAAGGTGAGACAAGAATTTTGCAACAAAGACCGGATGACCTGACAGAAGAAATAAACATGTCACCTCAAGGCTGCAGTACAGGACAGACGAGAGTGTACATATACACATACGCACGCACACACATACTTACATACATACAGTTTTTTGTTTAAAAGGTACTACTACTTTTTTTTTTTTTTTTTGTCTTTGTTAAACTTATAGAAATAAATGTCATCAACTCTAGGATGTGCTTGTCTGTGATGTGTTGCTTTCTCAAAATTCATACCATAGATTGCTCATATCAACCTAAAACATTTTTTTTTTACTTATTTGTGCTTTCCAGTTAATCTGTAGAAATACGGACAAAATGTAGCACTAATGTAGATTTGCACATGTATAGTTGTAGTAGTTAGAGAGAGAGAGAGAGAGAGAGAGAGAGAGAGAGAGAGAGAGAGAGAGAGAGAGAGAGAGAGAGAGAGAGAGAGAGAGAGAGAGAGAGAGAGAGAGAGAGAGAGAGAGAGAGAGAGAGAGAGAGAGAGAGAGAGAGAGAGAGAGAGAGAGAGAGAGAGAGAGAGAGAGAGAGAGAGAGAGAGAGAGAGAGAGAGAGAGAGAGAGAGAGAGAGAGAGAGAGAGAGAGAGAGAGAGAGATATTCTTAGAGCTAATTTAAAACCAGTCCAACTTGTCAACTCAGGTGTAAGTGCTTCTTTTGTTTCAGTGGATGTTCCCCTCCCTTACATGTTAGAAATGTGGCTGGTGTTTGTGAGGCATTACATAATGGTAAAATTTCAATAGCCGTTTATATTTTCTGGTTATTGTCATACTGAAATGGCAAACTCTACCCCAGCAAAGACAATGGTTGAGTGATGTGTTTCTTTCTGAAATATGTCCAGCATGTATGTTTACATGTAGCTTCCTGTCAGCTTCTTATCTAACTATACTTCCTCCCACAGACAGGAAGCACCACCTCCGTCATTTGCAGTACGTCTTCCATTAATGCAACAAATTTTTATTCGACATAAAGGATTGTTTTGGTCCCATAATGACTCAGAATTCAGAACGGACTGAACAACCTATGTGGTTTCCTGTTTCTCTCGGGGAGCTGTTTCTGATTGGTTGCTGCTGTCAAGTAGTTGTTGCAGACTGTGGCTCAGACGCTGCCACGTACTCCAGGCCTTTTGTCGTGGGTCACTTGAGAGAATGCAGCTGAAGTCGATCTCATTGCTTTATGCCTCAAACACTCATTAATACAGTATTGTTGAGAATGGTGTTATCACTATTACAACAGTAGGCTATAGTACACATTTTCTGCTGCCCCTTTGTTCATTGTTCTTCCCTCTTTCTTTGCTCAGTAACAATAGTGAGCAATAATAGTGGGTTTGCTGCTGCCAGCACTTTCTCAAGACTTGTGTGCGTGTGCGCGCCGTATGGTTGGATTGAATTGAACTCAGGTGTGTTCCCCCCTTGGTGTGGATCTTTTGTGCAGGTGTGAATACAGCAATCGCCAAACAACCGTGCCGAGACCCTGAAAAGGTGGTCTTGGTCCGTTTCCAAACCAACTTTGGTCGTTTAAGGTGTGAATGACTGAGTGTAATAGGTTCAGATTTATACTGGGGCTGATGAAATGGCTAAACGCGTCTCATTAGTCACTACACGCAGCAGTATGCAGTATTGTTAGCAGAAATAATTTCTGATGTGTAACCTGTTGATCTGGTTGCATGAACGTAGCCTCTGTGAATTCAAACTTTATATTTGATCCATCTTCTGCGCTGTGAACTGTCGTCATGCCATGCCAGAGCTTATTTAGTGTAGTTTTCGAATCGAAAGCTTCCTGCTCCGCCCAGCTCCAGACTGTATGTTGAAATAGCCTGAAATCGTTTCACCATGGTAGAAAATTTAAACAAATAGAGCATATGTGTGTGAAATACTGCTGGACTTCTGACCGCAGAAAGCACAAATAACATCCAAGTCACAATCTAAGTGTTTAAATAACTGATCTCCAAAACGCACCAGGGCAGAAGGCAATACAGCAAAATCTGTGGCAGACAGATGTGTGGTAGATAGAAAGCAAGAGGCTGGTGTTTGTGTGTGAGGGTGTTAATGCCTTTTTCTCTCTCCCCCCTCTTTCTCTTCCTTTCGCTCCCTGTTCCTCCCTCCCAGGATGTTATGAGGAATACAGCGCCAACAGCAGAGCAGCCGGTATGAACGGAAACGGACCCAGCAAGCTTGTGGACCCACTGGAGGACCCAGTCCCCGGACTGGGCACCTATGAAGACTTCAACACCATCGACTGGGTCCGAGAGAAGAGCAAGGACCGTGACAGACACAGAGAGGTAGGAGGAAGAGCACTGCGTCTATTTAAGGAAGGGAAATAGTGTAAAAACCTTAACTAGATCAGAGTTATTTAGCACAAAGAAGAGTTTACCTCACTGTCACCCTGTAGTGAGGCAAAGAACGCTCTCTGGGTATCAAAGCTTTAATAAGCACATCATAAAATTGGTATATATGTTAGAAAATATGGGAAGTGAAAGTTTGAACTCCAGTTTGTGGTAACTCTGACAGAAAACAACCACCATGTATAACCTCTTGCTCTTCACGCCCTGCTTAGTGTTTATATTTATAGCTCCACAGATTCACACATAGAAACTGCAGGTTATGTACCCGCTGCTGAAGTGGTGAAATTCAAAAGCACTATTTACTGTGATCAGTGCACATAATCCATGTGTAAAAGCACCGGAGCTGTAACATAGTGACCTCTGTTTTAGCAGCAACATAAATAAGAAGTATCACTGCAACCATATGTAAAGTAATACAATATAGGATAATTTCTAACATTGATCTCTTCGTCTCCATCCAGATCACCAATAAGAGCAGACAGTCGACTATGGCTCTGCTGCACAGCGTCAGTGATGCCTTCTCTGGATGGCTTCTTATGCTGCTGGTGGGACTCATGTCAGGTAATGCACTTTATTTCTTAAAGCTACAGCCTGGACTCATTTTGTTTAATACGCATAAAATAAATCAACATGTGAGTAAAGCCTGCCGTTAGAAACTGGGACACTGTTTAAGGTATTTTTGGAATGCTTGACACCACAAACCAAATTCCTCTCTCCTCATTTGTAGTGGGGGAGGCAAATCATAGCAGCAGATATCGAAAAAGCCACAGGAAATAAAACCCAAACTATCTGCACAGCTAGATATCACTTCTGCTAAGTGGAAAACTTACAGCACAGTGGGTTTGCGCTTATGTTCCCTCTCTATTGGTGTGTTGTTTATACCTGGCACTCAGCTTTGTAACACTCCGACACCTGGTACTTGTATCAGTACCTGTCCAACGCCAACTACAGTTTGATTATTGCACCATGTCACACTATAGTGTACACTATTCTGTACACACTATTTAGTTATAAGTTAAGATGGTAATCTCTAGAAGTTTAATGTACTTAAATGGCTTCTTAAACACAAAACAGCAGTGCATGTACCTTTCCTCTTGTCTCTCTGTTGCCTGCTTAGCTGAGCTTAAAGGTAACTCCCATGTGGTGACAGACGGTAGGTAAAATAAGCTTCTGCAGTGTTCGGATGGAGTGAAAACGTGTTCACCATAAATGTTTCTTGTTCTCTTTGTCCCAAACTCGTCCTTCCCTCGCCCAGGTGCTCTAGCCGGCGGCATTGACATCGCAGCCCACTGGCTGACAGACATGAAGGACGGGATTTGTGTCGTTGGCTTCTGGTTCAACCACGAGCACTGCTGCTGGACGTCCAACGAGACAACGTTTCAGGAGAGGGACCGGTGTCCACAGTGGAAGAGCTGGGGGGAGCTCATAACGGGGACATCAGAGGTAGGAGAACATTGCAACGCTTTGCCGCAGTGCTGGAAAACTCATCCAGAGTGAAAATGGCTTTCTGCACAGTCATGACCTTTAGTGAAAGTCAGGCTAATGCATACAAACATCCTGGCTCCAAATGTGTCAATTAAGTATGAAAAAAGTAAATTACTTGCATGTCATGATCCAGGACTGTGAGCTGCTGTGTCTCTCTCTATTTCCTAACTTGATGCCTGTGCTTGAAGAAAGTTGTTGCATTTACACGAGGGCCCGTTGCACTCTTCACTACCTAGCAAGATTTAATGTACAGTCATTACGCTCTCTCTCTCTCTCTCTCTCATAAATTCATACTAAGAAAACATTATCCCATGCCACAAACAGTAGTTGTAGTGGTGCTTCGGCTCCATCTACTGGTTGTAAGCTGTCATGACACAAGAGAACACCACAGCTGAGCCAGGATGTTATATGAATGAAATACAGCCTTTATCTTAATATAATATAATAATCTTAATATACAGTACTGTGCAAAGTCATAATGCAGGTGTGGGAAAATGCTGTTAAGTAAAATACTTTCAAAAATAGACATGTTGAGTGATTATAAATGTCAATTAACAAAATCTAAATCAAATCAATTTTTCTTGCGACCACCCTTTGCCCTCAGCATCAGCTCTTATAGGTTTACTTGCACAAAGTCAGGGACTTTGTAGGCATATTGTCAGGTGTATTATTAACTTAACTTTTAAAGTTTTGTACAGTGCTGTATATAATTAATAATGTGAAGATTTATTCTCTAGTATTTGACTAATAAATCATATGTCTGCATATCTGATGTATGTGAGTCTTTGTGTGTCTCTGCAGGGTGCGTTTGCCTACATTGTGAACTACCTGATGTACATCTTCTGGGCTTTACTCTTCTCTTTCCTGGCCGTCGCGCTGGTCAGAGCCTTTGCCCCGTACGCATGTGGCTCAGGAATACCAGAGGTAAAACTGCACTCAGAATAGTAACGCACTTATAAAGCAGCATCAATGTGATGCCGCTTATTTCTTCTAAATAAATATAGGCCTATAGACCATTTATTATACATACGTTTTATTTCACGTTTTCATTTTATAATGAATTCTTCATTGATAACGTTTGCTTTAGTGATGAATGTTTATGAATGGACAAGCTGGAATGCTCTGAAATATGTCCATGTCTTTCTTTATTTAATGTTAATAAACAATTTGCAGATTAGTCCCTTCGCTTACTGTCTGCTTTCCTGACAGCGTGTTTTTTTTTATTTATTTTTTTTTAAATGGAGCATAAAAGCCAGACAGGGCTCCCTCCATCCTCTCTGCTATCCTGCCATCAGTGTTTACTTTCTCTTTGTCTCTGTTCTTTGACTCTTTATTTCTGTGGAAGTGAAGAGCTGAAGAAGGAAAAGCTGACCGGGCGCAAACATATCAAAACTGATTCTCCCGTGTCATATATACAGAACAAAACACACAAACACAACTCCTCCCTGCGTTCATAAACTGTTTCTCTCGCGCTCCGGCTCTCAAATGAAGTTCTCCTAAAGTTCCCGTCACTGGAAGGTCAGACAGAGGTCAGCATGCCCACGCACGCGAGATTTAACTGCTTATTTGAAAGAAAAATATCTCCAGACTTCCTTTTCTCTTGTGGGTCCCTCCTATAAATGTTTACACTCTTACTTTTTTCTTGGTTATACGTTGACACACGCATATCTAAACGGATCCCTCCCTAATATAAACAAACATATAATCCCAAACACGTCCTCTTCGTCTCAGCACACACAGCTCACTCTTTTCTTTCTTTCAGTGGGACATTATTGGAACGGGACGTTTACATTTCCAAAGCAAGTGTCTAATAAAAACATGTACACAAACAGGAGAATTGTGCTATTAAACAAAAAGTAAAAATTATATAATAGGGTGACCAGACATCCAGAAAAATTCGGAACACTAACAAACCTTAGTTTAGCTAGTTATAGCCGAATTAAACATTAAATGCTGTGGAGTTGCTGCTCGGCTTTCCATTGGCTACAGCAGGACCTGAACGGTATCATAGACACGGTGAACAGCGTTGTTATAGCCACAAAGTAACACGTGTGTGCTCTGTTCCCTTTTTTGTTTTCTAGTGTAGATAGTGGAAGTTAAAGTCGGAAGGACGGGGGGAAGTGTAGCTGCAGGCAGCCACGGATAAGGAGAGATCTTACATGTGTGTTGTGCAGACAGATGTGATGGCCCCACACTGCTGGGATGAATTTAATGAAATAAATTACACATTGTTACATACAACACAGTCATTGTGTTTTTTTCCTAATGACAGACAGTTTTCTTCATGAACCTAAATAATTAATATTGGCGTCGAGTTTTGGCTTTCACGTGTTTTACTGATTAACACTGAATGTAATGTACTGGAGGCCACGCCCACCCCCAATTCCCCTGTCCTGAATTTCACCCATCCTCATCTGGTCACCCTCATGAATAATAATAATAAAAACAATATATACATTATATACAAATACTGAGAACTATAAACACTGCAATATTTTTTATTTTTTACGAATGTGTGTGTGTCCCTCAGGCTGTGGCATGTTGATGTGCCCTGTCTAGGAGGAAGTGCATATACTGTGTTCTTGCGTATTGGTTGCCACGCTTGTTTTGTGTTTCCCTCTTTCGATTGCCAGTGTGTGATCACTGAGCCTGTACTTGATTTGATTCTGCCTCTGCCTCTCTTCTTTTTTTTTTTTTGAGGGCCAGATAAACGTCACTCTGGCTTTTAGCTTCTCCTTCACTGTGTTCCAAATAGGCTCTTTTACATTGTGTTATAATTTAGTTTACTCTGATTGGTGGTGTTGTGAGTCGCTCACTCTTCCCCTCTCTGCCTTTCTCAGATTAAAACCATCCTCAGTGGGTTCATCATCCGCGGCTACCTGGGGAAGTGGACCTTGATCATCAAGACCATTACCCTGGTTTTAGCCGTCTCCTCTGGGCTCAGTTTAGGGAAGGAGGGCCCTCTGGTACACGTTGCCTGCTGCTGCGCTAATATATTGTGTCATCTGTTCACCAAGTACCGCAAGAATGAGGCCAAGCGGCGAGAGGTAGGCTCTGAGGCAGTTTGGGGTGCGGTGATGAATAATGAGGGATTTTATTGCTAGTTTAGGATCCAGTGTCCTAGTTTTGGAGAGTTTAACAGGAGAGATGCTGATAGAATAGACCCCATTAAAAAACAAAACAATGTGGTTTCAAATTCTGCTGTTCAGTTTATTTGTTTTTTACTTTCATACAACAGAGTTAACAGACAAATTAATATTGGCTCTGAAAGCTGGGTGTAAAATAGTTGCTTACTTTAAGTGGAGAAGTTATAAAATGAAGTATTGAACTGGCTGTTGTAGTGTTACAGTCTCTCAGACTATATTATCTAAAATCCCAGACGAACACTAGCTTAAGAAAGACAAAATTGTTCAAATTCAAATCACTGATTTGGTGCACAGTAGTTGTATTTGGCCTTTTTATCGCAAAAGTGCTGGGAACTCCTGGTTTTGATCAGACCAGCTCTCACTCAGCTGTTGTCTATGGTAGGAAATGGACTGTACCAAAGAACATCTGCTCATTCAACAATGAGAAAGCAGGGCTCCATTGAGTGTGTCTGAGCAAACCACAGGAACAAAAAGAGACTCCCACAAGGACAAAATGATTATGGTAGATAGTGTAGTAACTTAAATCCTTAGTGGATTTAAGTTTAATGGTTTTCCATTTCACAGACAGAAGTGAGATAATGAACTCCTTTCACAGATTCTTATCAAGTTTGTATCTTAGATTAACATCTCACTTGTGCCGTACTACAACTGAATTGAATTCAGATGTTTGTTTGTTTTTGCTGCGTGTAGGTGTTATCTGCAGCAGCAGCAGTGGGCGTGTCTGTGGCCTTTGGTGCTCCCATAGGAGGAGTCCTGTTCAGCCTGGAGGAGGTGAGAACAATAATTTATTCACTCTTTTCCTGCTGGCCAACCAGCCTGGGTATTTTGTCTGGTAATCCCCTTTCTGCATCTGTTTAGACTGATATTGATATCTTAGACAACATCAGATATCTGATGCAACGTGAGACTGTAAATCTACCACAACTATATAACAGACACTTCAGGCAAAAGTGATTTCATTACAGTGTATCACACATGGCAGGATCAGAGAGAAACTGATTTTTCTTATGTTTTCAGTATCAGAACAATACTGCAAGTACCCATTACTAAAACTAATATGAAGAGGTTTTAAATTTCTTTCCTTGTCTTGTTTAAGTTCTCTTGAAAATGTGACTGGCACCTAACTTGGGTCATAATAAACCATGAAACCTGTTAACTGTTAATGTTTGCATAGTGGAAATAAATGTGTCTGCGGCTTTATAATCCATCTTTAATGAAACGCCTTGCAGAGGTTTAGATCCTGGAGACTTTTTCACCACTTCAGAGGGCAGTTTTAAGCCACAAAAAAAGAGCACTGCTTCTCGAACAAAGGGACTGAGCACTAAACTGTTGATTTATTAGTGAGTGCAATAGTGTTCTCATTGCATTCATTTTTTGCTACATTTTCGGCACCTCAGTAGGGGGTTAAAAACTGTAAAAACTGTGTACAGTTTGACACATTTAACTGTCTTAGCCCTGGAAATAGCACTGAGATGTTGCTTCCCTAGTTGACACAATACTGATGCTGCGTTCCATTTACCTCGGAAGTCGGAGCTGGGAATGACGTCACACCCGAATTGGCGGCGTTCCAGTTAACAAGTCGGAAAACCTTGCTCGACCAGCTGTTTATTTACAACTAGCCAGGTTAGCAATTGATACGGCAGTTGATTTAAAAAAACAAAACAAAACGCATTGTGCGGTATTTACTCACACTAAACACTGTAGTGACATGTCAGCAGTTGGACAGCACTTTGTGTACAAAACATTTATATTAGTCACAAGTACACAGAAGTGCTAATAAACAGTATAAGCTACAGCTTTCACTAACTGTTACCCCGACAGCCATCTTGGATCACGAAGTCGGGGTCGTGCGGTTCTCCCGACTTCCCAAGTCCGATTCTGACTTAAGGGGGCGTTCCCTTTGAAATTTTGACCTTTAAACTCGGAAATTCCGACTTCCCATGTCAACTGGAACGCACCATTAAACCACAAGACGAGACGTGATTCAAGATTGGGTTCACGAGATCGAGACGAGGTTTTAACACTATTTTTTAAGAAATCTTTAATGCTGAGTATTAAATACGTTATTTCCTGCATTCTGATGATCTTTTTCTGCAGCAGTTCATGGTGATTCATAGGCGGAAATCACTGGGGGTGGGGGTCAGGTCCCCCCCCTATCTGATGGGTGTCCCCCCCCCCCTTAAAAACCATCAAATAATATAATGATCTATAATTGTGTAAATAGAAACAATAAAATTGCAAACAGGGCAATAAAAGTGCGTTGTAAGTTTAGAAACATTTTGAGTCACCTCTCTTGCCTCATAGTGATTTGGTCCACTGCTTTCTCTCTCACAGGGGTCCGGTGGCAGAAAACCAGTTAAATCCTTCAGTAGTTGTGAAACTCTAGTAATGATAAGTAGGCTGGCAGGGCTGTTTAATGCACTTTAAACATTGGATGAACTGATTCTTGTCTTTTAATACAGATGATGTTGAGTTATTAAAAAAGTTATGATAACCTATTGTTTTTCCATGAGCCCATCAAACATTACCTAGCTTATTTGGTAGCTTGTTTAACAGCTTATTGGATTGTAACTCATCTTCTACAGCTAGAGACGCGCAGATTGATCAGCTGGAGACTGAAGTAGGCTGTTTTTATTTCGTCTACCCTGACCGGTGACCGGGGCCGAGCGGTGTCAGCTATCCAATTTTCTGCTGATCTGCGCCAGTTCTTTTAAATAAAACTGCTGACAAATAATGTCATAGTAGACAGAGAAAGAAAGAGAGGGAGAGATGGACAGACAGACAGTTGTTGGTGTGTGCTTCTGTGTCTGAGGGGAAAAGTAAGGTGAGCAAATTACTGTTGTTTGTGATTAATTAGCTAACAAATATACTGGTGCTGATAGGATACCTGATAGATACCTAATAAAAACAGATTTTTCCAATAGTTTGTGTATGCTGTCAATTATAGTTCTTAGAAAGGAATAAAATCGCAATCGGCCAAAATCAGGATCGGCAGGTCAGACCATTTAAAAAAAAATCAGTAACTGGAATCAGGCAGGAAAACTGTAATCTGTGCATTTCTTACTACAGCGATAATTCTCTTGGCGATTAATCTAGTAGTTGACAACTACTGTATTAATCGTTGCAGCTCTATTTACTATTAGTACAGTATCATTATGATCTTATGGCTTTACGAGTTCTCTCTTTTTTCCTTCAGGTGAGTTATTACTTCCCTCTGAAGACCCTGTGGCGGTCATTCTTCGCTGCCTTGGTGGCGGCCTTCACTCTGCGCTCCATCAACCCGTTTGGAAACAGCCGCCTGGTGCTGTTCTATGTGGAGTTTCATGCCCCGTGGCACCTGGTGGAGCTGGCCCCCTTCATCCTGCTGGGAATATTCGGGGGCCTCTGGGGGGCGCTGTTCATCAAGGCCAACATTGCCTGGTGCAGGAGACGTGAGTTCTGTAGTTTAATTGTAGATTGTTTTTTATTGATTTGAATGAAACAATTTCCTTCTGTTTTTAGCCTTTTAATCAGTTTCGGCCTCTCTAACAGGTAAATCTACGCGTCTTGGTCACTACCCTGTCATTGAGGTGCTGGTGGTTGCAGCTTTGACCGCTGTGGTTGCGTACCCAAACAGCTACACCAGGATGAGCGGAGCCGAGCTCATCTCTGAGCTGTTCAACGACTGTTCTCTGCTCGACTCCTCTCAGCTCTGCGGCTACAAACAGGTCAGCTGATGTTATTTTTATTCCCACAAAATAAGCAAATATAGAGCTTTAGACCACCGGCGTGGGAATGGTGTCATATTATAGATAATTACTTCATTAGTTGAAACTACTGGCATTTTGAGTAATTTCAAATGTATTTTTGTTTCTTTGTCTGGCTACCTGTTCCTTTTCATAATGTTTTTTGTCACTTCTCTATCTTCTCTCTATTTGTCTTCCTCTCCTACCGTACTCTCCACACATGCTTTTCAGCCAGCGAACACATCAGAAACAGGTGTAGGTAACAGCCTGGCTGACCGGCCGGCGGGAGAAGGCCTGTACACCGCTCTGTGGCAGCTGGCCCTGGCCTTAATCTTCAAGATGTTGATCACTGTGATTACCTTTGGCATGAAGGTTGGTCCAGACACACACACAGACAGAAACACAAACACAAACATTACGAATGAATAATTGGCTATTGTGTCGCTTGTTAAAGTGTCACTACTCTCCTTTAAACTCTGTTATCGATCAGGAATTTTTGGCTGATGCTGCTTTTGGTTTCTCATTAATGTTTTTGTGAACTCTGTGTTACATGGAGTGTGGAAATCCCACAAAGACAGCTGTCTCTAATATGTCTGGAACCAGCGGCATAGTTTCATTCACTAACCCATTTTGGAATTTAGATGACGTGTAATTGGACCTCTGGAGCCTTTTTGTATGGTTCAGAAGCTGAGTCACAGCAGCATGACTCTCCATCCTGTTGCTCACTGGAGTATCAAGTTATTGGTGAAAGAAAGACATGAGTAACAGAGATTTATTACAGACGCTTTTAACTGAGTGCACTTCATTTGGCTGAAAATACAAGTGGAAATTGTGTTTTAGAATAATTATTAGGGAGAATCTTGTCCGTCCAATCACGACTTGACATGATGAGGATGTCTTTGTCTTTGTAATGAGTGAATTACTCTTCCAAGGATGATGACAAAACAAAAAAAAGTGAAAAAGTAAATTCACAGATCCCAAAAATCGATTCTTGTGTGTCATTAAGATTTATGTTGCCCCTAGAGAGTGTACAGCACTCCCAAACACAAAAGTCCATCTTCAAAGAAGGCAAAACCTTTTGGATTCAATCACTTCCTCACACTTTTCTCTGCCTTAGTTGAGTGATCCTCTTCAAGACCAGTGAGCTTAGGTTATCATTTGTATTGGCAGCATTTTAATGGCTGCTATTTAACATGTATATGCAGTTATACAGTATCTCACAGAAATGTGAGTACACCCCTCACATTTCTGTAAATATTTGATTATATCTTTTCATGTGACAACACTGAAGAATGACACTTGGCTATAATGTAAAGTAGTGAGTGTACAGCATGTTTAACAGTGTGAATTTGCTGTTGCCTCAAAATAACACAGCCACTGATGTCTAAACCCCTGGCAACAACAAAAGTGAATACACCCCTAAGTGAAAATGTCCAATTTGGGCCCAAACTGTGAATATTTTGTGTGGCCACCATTATTACCAGCACTGCCTTATATCCCTCTTGGGCACGGAGTTCACCGGAGATTCACAGGTTGCCACTGGAGTTGTACACTCACTACAAGTGGTTTATAACACACTATAATGTAGTTGCAAGCAGATACACGTGTTTATTAATGTATTTGTCAACAGCTGTAACTCCTCCTGTAGGCAGCAGTAAGCTGGTGTATGAACGGCTAATGAATGACAATATAGTAAAAGCCAGTTGTAATAATTTAAAATGTCTTATAATTGCTGACAAATACAGTATGTTAATAAACACTTAATAAACTGTCCTTATGTTATAGTGTGTTACAAACATTTATGAAATGTCTATAAACTGCTTATAAATACTAATAAGGGGAAGTGTTACCCATATGGTAAAGACATGAGTGAATGCTTTAGGCACACAGTGTAAGAGGCTGAAAGAAGAGACACCTTTCTTGCTTGCATGAAAAATCTATTCTGAATGAAATCGTGAGATTCCCAAAGATTTCATCCCTAAAACAATCCAATTACCCAATAACCAAAGCATACAATTGTCAGTTTTATAAATACTCATCTTAATTTTCAATACTTTGTGTCATGTTTTTGCTGTGACCTAATCACCTTGTGAGAATCAATAAAACTCCTTAAATCTTACGATATATCAGCTCTTTTTAACAGTCAAGAGAGAAGTAGTTTACAGTGTTGGGCTGCAGCTAAGGATTATTTTCCTTGTCGATTCATCTGTTACTTATTTTCTCAATTGATCAATTAGTTATTTGGCTACGCAGCCCTGGCTTATACTTCATCTCATCATTTGTCCGACCAGGTTCCCTCTGGTCTCTTCATCCCCAGTATGGCAGTCGGTGCCATCGCTGGCAGACTGCTGGGTGTCGGCATGGAGCAGCTGGCCTACTACAACCATGACGAGTTAATATTTAAAGGGTGGTGCTCGCCGGGAGCAGACTGCATCACTCCGGGGCTCTACGCTATGGTTGGAGCAGCCGCATGTTTAGGTGAGACGTGAGTGGCGGTAAGCTCTTGGGTTGGTGCTTGATTTGTTTGAGAGATGAGCGCTGAACTGTAAAGAAAACATAATCCTGATGATGAGTGAGGGGAAAAAATGGAGCGTGAGATCAACAGAGATATCTGCCTAGTACATTTTGTTGTTGGGTGATTTAGTTGGAGTGTCCTGACCTCACCCTCAGGTGAAGAGCTCAGATATCCAGAAGCAGCCTGGGGTAGATAAAAGGAACCAGGTGCATCTTGGGGCATTTGATCAGGATGTTTTGTGCGTGCCTGGCCACAGTGGTATTCTGAGCATGTACAACTGGTAACATGCCAGAGGGATTAAAGCTGATGATACACGCAGCAACTTTTAGAACTTTTGCTGGTGGCAAGACCGACCATGTTTTGAACGGACAGCGGCTGAGTGGGCAGGTGGCGGAGTGGTGTGGGAAGGGGATTACGGCAGTAATCTTTACTCATTACCACTGATGGCAACATTGCCCAGCACCATTGCTCAAAAAGTTGCCCTGTGCATCATCTGTTTAAGATTACACGGGTAGTCTGACTTTGGACTGCTACAGAGCAGCTGGATCAGGGTTGTTTTTTTGCACCATTTATTTATCATCAAGTTCTTTGTAAATCTGTCTTAAGATGATGTATCATCCTATAAAAAGTGTTGGATGGATGACAAGAATTAAGTGTTTGCTTTTTCCTCCGCTTAGCTTCCAGTTCCTTTGTCAAAGCCTAAGTAAACGCTGTGTAGAAATCAGATAGCTGGTGCGCTTCGTCACCCTCCGGAAATGTTTTGTATAAAAACGGATGAGTGCTAAATTCCTACCGTGAGGACAGGGTTTCAGCTATCCAGAGCGTTCAGCCCACATTCGTTTGTCTTGTAGATCTGGGACAAAGGTTTCTCTGTTCCTGAAACATGTTACCAATTGTGTTTTACTGCTAGTTACCTTTTACCAATTTTAGTGCATTCTGCTCCTAACGATAGCCCTCGTTAACACAAGTGGCGGAGAATAAGTGCCAGCCATGAGTAGATCTGATTGAGCTTTGTCACTTTTTACCCAGCTGTCCAATCACAGTAGAGTAGGGGCGGGACAAATACCACACCGTAGCAACGGTTACTATCCTGGAACCGGGCTTCGTCCAACCTCAGCTCTTGGACTAAATGGTGGTACTCGCCGTTTCCTCAGCCACAAAATCTCATGAAGTCACATGAAGTCCGTCTTCTCTCTCTACCTGCTTCAGCCTTCTGTTCATACGGAGCAAGTGCTCTACTCTGTGTTGACATTTTTACATCCAGTAAACTTAGGTACAACTACTTGCAACAAATGTATCCTATATTTCCCGCTTTGGTGGACAGGGGCCCTTACTCCTAAATGACTTATGTACTGTTACTACTCGTCCCCTTTAAGACATTTTAATGGTACGTATACATCATAGTCTGTTTGTGGTGCAGAGAGCATGCCCATAGGAATGCTTTATTATTGTATTATTTTGTCATGTGTAAATGTTTTATTTATAGGCTGTGCTCGCTGTGTGTCTTGAATACTTGTTTTATGTCTCAGTGTAGTTACTGGATGTGATGTCCTGAGGTTTTTGTGATCTCACCAATGCAAATTCCTATTAACTATGTTGAATTAGCAATGAAGTATCCAGTCATGAATCTACTGTGAGCTCAGTGGTGAGTTTGTTACTCCACCTGCAGGTCACCCTAGAAAGTGAATAACAAAAGTGTCTGGTGACACAACGGTTTCAGCCATTGCCAAAGTAAATCAAAAAGATTTTGACAGGCTGTAATTAACACTTTATCTTATTTTGCTTTACACTGTTTTGTATAAAAAGGGTTGATTATAAAATAAGCCGTAACGCTCTCCAAACAACTAAGTATTGTATCAATGTCCCCAGTAATCTTAAATCTATAACTGAAAAACATGTGAATTTAATGACAACCGTCTGCATCCGGGAACAATTTTGAGAGCTTATGATCATCTCCATTATTGCATCTTTAAAGTACTAAGCAGCTTAAAAAAATACAACTTGTTTTTTCATCCACTCACAATAGAAATATTTCATGTCCAGTTGAGTTAAGCGAGTTGTTTAGAAGAAAGAAGCCACAGAGGACATCTGTGGCATTAAGTTAAGAGTGCAGCGTCGGTTTCTGGCTCCAACCGAGCAAGATGATTATAATTGAACCATGAAATTAAACTGCGACATTTCCATTAAAAAAAAAAAAAAAAAACGATGAGGGGAAAATGAAGAGCTCAAACTTTCAGACAAAGAAATGTCAAAATGCAGACGAATTCTCTTCTCAGACAGACTCTCTCTTTTCATACTGTAGTAATGCTGGTATTAATGTGACGTCCAGGTGAATCAGATAACATTTGACCCCCTTCTGTCTCCCTGCAGGTGGAGTGACTCGTATGACTGTGTCGCTGGTAGTCATCATGTTCGAGCTGACTGGCGGTCTGGAGTACATCGTGCCCCTCATGGCTGCAACCATGACAAGCAAATGGGTGGCAGATGCATTCGGAAGAGAGGGAATCTACGAGGTTAGCCTTTTATTGTCTTTGCTGTGAGTTTTATGTGGTTTGATGTAGTCCCTCTGGTTCCTCTCCAGCTAAAAACATACACACTCTGTAATGTGCGTTAGATTTAAGAGGGCGCGGTTTTGAGTTTGGTATTTACTCGAGAATGTTCTGCAGGCTCACATCAGGCTGAACGGATACCCGTTCTTGGAGCCTAAAGAGGAGTTTGCTCACAGCAGCCTGGCCGTGGACGTGATGAGGCCCAGGAGGTCGGACCCTGCTCTGGCTGTGCTCACACAGGAGGGCATGACTGTAGGGGAGGTGGAGGTATGCATGCAAACACACACACAACAGCATACAGTAGTTCAAAACGCACCGGAGTACAGAGCATAAAAAGCATTAAAATACGCAGCAGTATGGAAAGTGTGTTTTTCTATTTAAGCAAAGCATGTGTAGATGTGGATGTGACGCCTGCAATTAGTCTCTCAAGGTTCAGGTTTTTTACATGTACTTTTTTGAGGGTATATATTGTAGATTGTACAGTAGATTGTAGGTATTATTTTTTTTAGTCACAACTTCTAAAACTGTCTAAAAAAGTATTCCATCTCTTTCCTAAGGATTTGTAGTAGTTGTACCATTTTACACATGACACATACTGTTTTATTTGTCCCCAGGCCTTGGTGGAAAGCACTCACTACAGTGGCTTCCCTGTGGTCGTGTCTCAGGAGTCCCAGAGGCTTGTGGGATTTGTACTCAGAAGAGACCTGCTCATATCAATAGGTCAGAAGTGTTTGTGTATATCTGGAAATATACCATCACAATAGGAAATGCTGAATGCTTCAAATATTTTATATATAACATTAGATAATCTTGTGATTGAGTTGAAATGACAACTTTTAGGTAGGTAGATTTTATTGTCACAATGCAACAAGTTGTAGAGTGAAATTGAGTTTTGTAACTCCCTTCTGCTACATAGCAGACAGTAAACATTAATAAAGATTAAATTATGAAAAATGGTAACAGAAATAAAATGTAATCAATGGAGCAGTGCTGAGGATGAATTAGAGTTTAAGGGTCTGATAGCTTGGGGGGAAAAGCTGCTCTGCAGTCTGGTGATGAGGCAGCAGAAACTTCTATATCTCTTCCCAGAAGGCAGCAGGGTGAACAGGCTGTGGCTGGGTGGGTACTGTCCTTTAGTATCCTTTAGGCTCTGTAGGCACCTCACCTCAACGATATCACTGATGCCCAGTAGATGGGTACCAATGATCTTATGAGCAGTTTTAATCACTCGCTGCAGAGCCCTTCAGTCCTGGGCCGTGCACATCCCATGCCAGTTTGTGATGTTTCCAGTCAGGATGCTTTCTATTGCTCCTCTGTAAAAGCTGACAAGAACTTGGCGTGGGAATTTGGCCTTCTTAAGCTTCTTTAAGAAAGTCGTTTCTGAGCTTTCTTCACCAGTGTGGAGATGTGAGACGACCATGTCAGGTTCTCTGTCATTCTGATTCCCAGGAACTTAAAACTGCTCACCTGCTCACTCCTCCACCTCAGCTCCACTGATGTAGACAGGAGTGTGTGTCTTTATCTCCTTCTTCCTAAAGTCAACGATCAGCTCCTTAGTTTAGTTGACGTCGAGTAGTAGGTTGTTCTCTGTACACCACTCTGCAAGATTATCAATTTCCTCCCGATATGAAGTCTTTAAAGTTTGCTAGCAAACTGCAATTTAGAAATTATTGCTAATGTTATGACATCATAATTTGTGTTATCTTTATTTATTTTTTTGTTTGTTTTGTTGTTGACATCTCACTCACTTAATAATAAATGTTAACCACCACTCTTTTCAGACAACGCTCGGAAGCGCCAGGAGGGAGTCGTCAGTGCTTCCCAGGTGTTCTTTACGGACCATGCTCCAGCTCAGGCTGCTGATGCTCCGTCACCGCTCCGCCTCAGGGGCATCATGGACCTGAGCCCTTTCACGGTCACCGACCACACACCTATGGACATCACTGTGGATATATTCAGGAAGCTGGGGCTACGCCAGTGTCTTGTTACACACAACGGGTGAGAACAAACACATGTACACAGTAGGGTGTGATTTAAAAAATATATATATTCATTCTTTTTTGACCATTTTCAAGCCAAACATTCTCCAGAAGATAAACCTCTTCATGATTTACTCTTAAAATGTACTTTTGTCAGGGTAGACAATCCTCTAAAAGAGCACTTTGCTGTCCCGTAACAACGAGTACAAGTAAAGAAAGGTAGGATAAATGGTAGGAGAGATGGACGAATACTTAAAGGGACCACACTCCCACGCCTGAAGACATTAAAGTGAGATATCTTCAGGAAATGATGCTGGTGGAGGCATGGAAGGAGTGGGTGTGTTGGAGAGCCTCGGTTCATTCTGATATCAGGTCATGCATTAAAGGAAAATCAAGGAGGCACAGGAGTTAGGGAGGAAGACATAGGCGGTTAATGGAGGGAGGAGCAGTGAGAGATAGAACAGAACATTCTTCAGGTGTATTTACGCAAATCTCTTCAGTGCCACTGACCTCATTACTATAAACTTTACCCAGGACTTTTTATAGCCTTCTTTCAGATGGAGCTTTGCTCACCCATCCATTGATGGAATGGGTTTTAGGATTTCTTATATAGCTCTTTGTAATGGAAAACAATCACGTTGACACCAGATGTTGTGGATGCAGCAATAAAATGTTCGTTCTATTTGGCATCTGGCCTGCGAAACAGGAAGGAGAAGAGCGGTCGAACCACTTTCCTGCTATTTTTCTATTTTACGTAGCTCGTAAAATTCCGTCTCGAGTCGCATCTGCTGCCACAAAGTGATCCCTGCCATTAAGGCGTGATTCATTGACTGTTTGAGTAAAGGAGTGTGTATTGTGCTTATTTGTTTATTTTTTGTCTCTTTCTCCCTGTGAGCTTCGATTAAAGGAACCGTTATGAGAGGTGTGTTTGTCAGGATGTCCCGTAGCTTTTCTTTTCAGGAAGCTTTAGGGACTCATAGGCGCTCATAGCTATTTATTCAATAAACATATAAAAATACATTCAGACAGTGCTTGTTTTTTGGGCTTGCAAGTAACACTAGTTTTAAATAATGGCTATTTCTGCCGAATACTTTAGTCCATTAATCAATTAATTAATTTGTCTATTAAATGTTAGATAATAGTTAGATACTGAAAACTACTGATTTTAATTTCTCTGTGAGGAGGTGAAGTTTTCAAGTCTTGTTATGTTCAACCAACAGTTCAAACCCCAATGATGTTTAGATAATTCAGATCACAATGATTCGAGACAAACTAAAGCAGGAAATCTTCACATTTGAGTGGCAGATGAATTTTCATTAATGAAGTTTATTTCTTCAAAGGTTTGTACAATACGGTGGCCAGGATATCAAGCTGTGTACTTGGAAGCTGATGCGTTTAGAAAACAGCGTTTAACCTCTCAAAGATATTACCGAAACACTTTCTCACTGTATTTTTAAATCGTCTCCATCTACAAAAACCACTCCCAGCTGCACCAGGGCCAACATTTCACAGACAGCGCTGTTATCTGTCAGACCCAATACCGTCCTTGTGATGACAGAAGGACAATGTTGGTCTGCAGTATTACATTCAGACAGACCAGAGCAGAAGATACTCCCGGTGAGAATAAACTCAATCAGTGTTTCATTTATTTTCCCACTTCATTTCCTCACTGACCCTCGTGCACACACACACACAACCGCCAGTTGTTTAGATGGAGATCTGACAAGTTCAAACACACAGCTCTCTGGGATTTTGGGAGTGTGGAATTAGGTATATTTTCATGAGTGTAGGGAAATGGTATATTTTACCAACACTGTCAAACACAGGCTTATAGTAGCTTGAACACATGTAACAATTTAGCTTGTGGTTTCTCTTTGTCACTGTCTATATTCCCAGCAGGAGTGAAAACTCTCAGCTGTGGCAGTTAGTTCTTCAGTTTTTATAGTCTTTGTCTAACTAGCTTTTGTCTTCAGACTGAGCAGCCTTTGAGAACTTGGCCATCATGCATGGATATATAGATGTAGTTGTGACAGAAAAGGGGGTAATATCATGACACTGGGACCTACACGTCCCATAATGCATCTCGATAGCATCACAATGACATCATAAGGATTATTTATTCAGGCTTAACCAACTTCCCCCCAGAGCCACCGAAGACGTTTATTGCAAGCTAAGTTGCGCTCCCTATAATGTGTCAACTAATCCTGATGTGTTCAGTCAGCTTCTGCCCTTTTGAGATGTTTCAAATGGTTCCCTCGTCTGGCAGCTGGAGCTGAGCTTTAAAGTTTCCCAGTGCAGCTTTAAAAGTCTGTGTAGCCTCGAGGTGAAGTGGGCTCATTGGACTGTAATTCGCTGTCAACAAAAACCCTGAGACGTGCCCGTGAGTTTGGCTCGACATGTTTACTTCTCGGATATTTAGCTGCCGCTCTCCCACCAGAACATCTTGTTATGAGCAATTTAAGGTTCACTCACTGCCTTGCCATTGGGCACTTCTGACAACGCACACGCAGCTGCTGAAAGGCTGTTGACAGGCCCAGTGACTTCTGCAGGACTCGCACATATTTGCTTCAGATGGGCTGCTTGTTGGTTAATGACAGAACCGCTGAGGTTACAACAGAGTGGATCCACGTGTGACAATAAAATGGAAAAATATTTTGAGGAATCCCATATTCTTCTATTATGGGACAGAGCATAAATGGGAACAAAAGGAGGCACATAAAAGGGGGCTGTGAAGGGAAGGTTTGGGCTTCAGGCGACTAGGACGAAGGAATTAAATACAGCTGAAGAAAGTTCTGCTTCATCAGGCAGGATTTGTGTTTTTAATGTGAGGTTTTAGACACGGTGAATCACTCCATGTCTGCGAATGAAGATAGTTTGAAACGCTCACAAAAAAGACCTTGAGTCGGTGTAAGATCTCTGCGGTCGTCTTGTCAGATGGATACTGTTAATTTCATCACTCTGACTGGCAACAATGGTATTTTCCCAGACTATCTTTAGATTGTTAGTGTCTTTAGCTCAAGGTTGCCTCACTGGCAGGAAGTGTATCTAGCTCATCTTAAAAACACTCCTCGCCTGGGTGTGTTTCTTTTTCTTTCTGTCAGCTAAAATCTTCTAACAATTCATTTTGCAAAACAAGCTTTTTATCAGAGCTTTACTCAGAAATAGGACACGTTATGACATAAAACCTCAAAGACAACATCTCAACCTTAGACATTTCTGAAGAGTGTGGTTATTTTTTATCTCGTGTTTTATTCTGATCAAACACACATTTATGTGTGAATGATTCAGTCAGATAATTTGTTTGTTTGCAATATTTCCAGATGACTCCAAAGAGACATACTGGTGTCTCATTGGGCCCTTTATGAGGACACTGTCCATTTTATGGGAGCAGCTTGTTTTATTTATTTATTTTTTCAGGATAAGGCTCTTGATTTTCAGTATTTCTGTTATTGCCAACATAAAAAGACCAACACCAGCAACAGTGATCCATCTCTAAATCCTTTCTGACGTCCCTGTCTGTGGCTCTCAGCCCCAAGCTCACCGGTTCCTATTGAAGGTGTAAATCTAAGAGCGCATTCAGTCAGTGGTCATTTTATTTGTTTTGTTTGGTGCGGTTTGCTTTAACACTGCCCTTTTTGAAAATGAACCAGAATTTGTAATCAAAACCACACGTGTGCTAAGATCATCCATTCATTGGACAGAAATTCTGGAGCTGGTAAAAGCAGGAAGCTTTCGAATCACACACACCGAACTCCACTAAATAAGCCCCTGCGGGGAGAACATGCTCTGTGCGCCTACGTGGCATGCTGACAGCGAAGAAGACGGATCAGATATAAAGTTTGAATTCATACAGAGGCATACAACCAGATAAACATATTTTTACATCAGAAATGATTACTGATAACAATACATGTTTCTCAAACAGTAGTTATTTGTGTATTTGAGAGGGACTATTGTCAGCTGTGGATAGTGAGGAAGTACTGAGTATTTAAAGCAGCAGGACGGTGTTGTTGTATTGACTTATAAATAAAGTCAATAATAAACTACAGTGGCTGTGTTCAGGGTACTAAAGGAACTTCTTACCTTTTTAAATTCTTCTTTTTAAAGCTTTTAACTTTCAGCACAACAGACAAAAGTCACATTTATTAAAATGTCGTGTAACAGTAGCACAAGTACGAACTGTCAATTAGATGTCATTTACAACTTTAGATAGCAAAATGCATCTGAAGTCTGCTGACATTAGCCACCATAGGCCACGGGTCACACTAGGGTTTCGCATTTGTGTTGTTTATAAATCCAGCGCATCCTTTCCTTTAAATCGGCACCCCCGCTCCTTCTTAAAAGCCCAAACTCCCTCTCTTCCAGGCTGTTGCATGTTTACTTCAGGGATGGGGTTATAAACAACTTGCTAGTTGCCATTATTAGCTTCAGCCTATGACTTTTTACACTGCAGACTTTTCCTCTACTCATAACTTAACCGTTTCCATATTATTTATACTTAAAACCAGGTGTGTCAAGCCATGCTTTACCTGGTCCGTGCTTGTAAAATATCCACGGTGTCTGTGTCTTCTAACATATTACCGGAATCATTCTTTTCTTACTCACGATTGTTTTAAGTAATTACATCTCCCGACAGAACACCACGGATGAATTTCAGAGTTATGTAACCTTGTCGTCAGCTCAAGTAGTTCGCCTGTCACCTGCTCCACTCCCACACTATCGCACCAAGCACACATACCAGACCAAGTTAGGGCGTACTCACACTAGGCCCAGTTGCCTTATACTGTGCCCGAGCACGATTGTCCCCACTCCCCCGCTGGCCGACGCTCACACTGCGCTTAACGATCCAAGCCGGAGCACGTTTACATCATCACTCCAGTGTTTCCTAAATATGATTTATTTGTGGCGGCCCACAAATAAAGGGTTCATTTAAAGGCCCATTTAAAGTCGTATTTGATTGCAGAGCTGCGTGCAGCGCACATATTCGCTCAGCACCTCGTCTCACTTGCTCCATCTCTCTCTATCATGAACACCGTCAATGGCGGAAACCCACCTTAAAAAAAATATTAGCAAGCATGTAAAGAGGGTAGTTAATAAGGATAGCTATGTTAACGTTACCCTCCACCCTGCGCCACAGTTAGGCTGTCATTCTGTGGGAAACACTGCACTCTTTTGGAGAAAAAAAAGCTCTCTCTCTCTCTGCATGGCACAGTGGCGTTTATGTCCGAGTTCTGTGCTTGGGCACTGAGCGATCACACTGGTCAAACGAACTGGACTTTAGGGGTTAAAATCGCTGGGCATCATCAATACCAGTTGTCCGCCCCTGTTTCATGCGATATATTTATATGCATGAGCTTGAACATGAAACGGGAAACTAGATTTGACTTAATTTCACTTCACCATGTTTTTGCTCTTGTCCCTAACTGAATGTCAACATCGACTGTAATCGTCTTTATTGTGACGAGGGCCTTTGTGTTTTCTCTGTTGACTCTTGTGTTTTCATGTTGCTCTGATCTCCTGCTGCGAGCCACTTTCCATCTGGGACTGTTATAAAACCTTAGCCAAGGCAGGAGGCCAGACATCCACTCCACCTGTGTGTGTCTCTGCTTTTTGTCACTTCTATGGCTTTCAGTGACGAAGCAAACAAAGTATGATATGAAGTAATCTGCTTTTTCATGACTTTTTGTGCTCTTTTCTCTCTGCCATTAGGAGGCTGCTGGGAATCATCACTAAAAAAGACATACTGAAACACATGGCGCAGATGGCCAACAGAGACCCTGACTCCATCCTCTTCAACTGAACTCCTCTGTCCTTCCCCCTTCACCATCCTTCCATCTCTCCTCTGTGTACCAGGGGACAAGAAGACACCAGCTTGCGCACTCGAACTAAATGCACCTTTACATCTACCTAACTTTAAAAAGGCTGTTCAGAGAAAGCCGAGCAAGTCGAGCTCCATTTGCACGGGCGACTAGAGAACAATGATTTTTTTGTTTGTTTGTTTGTAACATGGGGGCGTTTTTGGCTTTCCGAAAGAGAGTTCACCACTGGAGAAAAAAAACAAAACAATGACTCATCCTTACTGACACTGCTGGCCCCAATTTCATGTTTGACACCAGAAGGATGAGAAATAAGTCAGTGGAATATTTCACATCTGCTCCTTTTGGCTTTTTCCTTTCTCCTTTTCTTTCTCTCTTTTCAAAAAAAAACTCCAAAAGGAGTCAAAAAATCCTCCTCCTCCATTAGCCACCATGCTTCTCAGCTGCACCTAAGAGAAAAAACATTTAAAAGGAGGTGGGAACAAGATAATCTCTGTTACAGATACTGACACGAAGAGAAATAACATCAGGAAAGACAAAGAGAGGTTTGGGGAGTTCCGTGCCTGCCCCCCGGCCGTCACAGCGAGCCCAGACAGGGCACTCTGAGCTGGGCTGATGGATGTTCGGTCACCTCCTCCTCTCCCCTCTTTCCCTCTGTAAGGTTTCCTGCAGCCCAAGGGAGAAGCATACAGGAGTGTGAGAAGCGGATCTAATACACTTACACTCCATAAAGACTCTTTAGATTTGTAATACGGCTCAAGCCTGGAAATTATGCAGTGTTGTTTTGCCGATTGGCAACATGAATAGTTATATTCTCATTTAAAAAAAATAAATAAATAAATAAAAATCACACACATGTAATGATAATGCTGCAAAACCATGTCATGCCTTAGGGAAGGTGTTCAGGTTTTTCTGGGCTGCTGTGGAAGGGCTAAAAAAAATACAAAAAGAGAGAATCATGACGTATAAATTAATTTATGTAAATGTAAAATTGTTTGTTCCACTAAATTATTTCATTGACTTAAATGGGTGTTTATGTGTCTGTTATTTCTTTGTTTTGGACATTTTGCGAAGCTCTGATTGTACAAATAATAGGCGACAAATCACTTATTGAATCTTTTAACAACCTCTGGTTTTATTAATCAGCATTAGATAAATAGAAAATAAGTAATCTGATTGGGGGGAAAATGCAAGTTACATTTCTTTCTTTCTTTTTATACGCTTGCTAAAATCTCGGCCTTATTGTGTCCAATGAAGGATTTAAGCAGATTTAAATTCAGTAAGCGGATTTGATGCTGGATTCAGATTTAATTAAAAAAAACAAAATAAAAACAATCAAACCTTTAACTACAGATCTTTGGTGAAACGTAATTGTGCCAGTTTTGTTTCGTTCGGCCCCTGTTCACATACAATATATTGAGAAAATGTGAGACTACGGACAGAAGGAGACTAAACTCAATTAGTCAGTTTCAGCTATAGAAGCCTTGAGTTGGTTGGAATTTGTTCTTTTGTTGAACGACACTGAGGCAGCCCTGCACACTCTGCCATCCAGTTCCCTGCTGATATCCTTTTCATGAGCAGAAAAATATTCTAAACTATTTTTAACACTTTAAAGGTTGTGCAGGTCAACGTGTCTGGGCCTCATGCTCTGCCAGGGAGGCAGCCCGGAAGTTCAGCCTCGGTACCTCGTCTTTGTATGCTTTATTCTTCCACTGAATTTATTTTCTTTCTTTTTTTCTTTTTTTTAAACTCTCGTCACACCTGGGAGCTGCTAAGCACTGCCAGTAAAAACATTCCAGGGATGTTGAAATTTGAGGACTTAACATATTAATTATAGAGACACTTTTGCTGACGTTTTGGACAAGCATGGTCAGTTTGGGCCAAAAAAAAAGGTCATGTGTCCTGGGAACAAGCAGTTTTCAAAAATACCCTAAGTTTATTCAAATGGTTCGGGTTTTATGGCCCACAACTTTTCTCCCATTGCTCTCATCAACATTGTTTTTAGATGTAGTAGGCGCAAAAACTCTCTAAAAACCTATTGTACCCTACCTGCACAGTGACAAATGACAAAGTTAGTTACTGGCTGGTGACCATAGTGGACCGTTTGGAAGCTAAAGAACTAAAAGGAGACTGAATACTGGACTTACCTTCAGCATGTGGACACAAACATGTCAAGTGTTTGCTAACACGTTCGTTTTATTAACGATAGTTTATCAGTGTTGTGCTTCCAGCTTGTTTCTGCTGCCCCAGAGTGGTCAAAATTCACATATTGCAGAGTTAAGATACTTTAAAGGTGCAAAGTGTATCAATTAAGACTACTCTCTACTTGTCGAATTCATACTCCAAAAAAAATAGGGGGCAGCATATCACACATCAGGTTATAACTGTTGTTATAACGGCCCGATGACAGTGAATGCAGTACCGAGGTCAGATACAGCAGCTCCGACCAGGACTCTTGACTCCAAAGATGACAAAGACTCATTACGGTACACTTACGGTGGAAAGACTAACGGTGGAAGACGCTTAGGTGAGTTTTTATTTTGTTTCTGTCGAGTTTGAAGGAGGTGTGTTTTAAGACGAGTTAACAAGGCTATTAGTTTGTTGAAAGAGAGAAACTTGAATTCAGAAGGTTGTATTTCTCTGTTCAATAAGGGAAATAGGTGTAAGAATATTTCCTTTCTTGACATTTTGTGAGTTTGTTTATTTATTAGACTAAAAAAGCTAGGTAAGCTTGTGTAACATAGCAAACATCAGCTGAAACTATGGGGGGGGAGAAGCCTGAGCTATACACAGAAAGTTTAAATATCTGGCCCCTAAAGTCATCTTTTGTGATTGGCTAGTTCTTGACACAGCTGGGCAGAGTATATATCTTTTGGCTTTTTCCCCTCTCTTTTATTGTGTTATATCTTTTTTATGCATGTACAGTGAACAATATTATAAATGCAACACTGGTGAACAGTATTTGAGAGAAATAGGCCTTTTGTGTACACAGAGAAAGTCTTTGATCTTTGAGTTCAGCTCATGATGAATGGGGGCAAAAACAAAAGTGTTGCGTTTATAATTTTATTCAGTGTAATAGGTTTGCAAAGTGAAAAAGCCCAAAGTCCACCTCAGAGGGAGTTACCATCTCCTACAGCTCGTTTGTAGTCCAGCCTTTACTTCCTTGCGTCACTTTGTAACACTCATTATGTAAATGCTCCATATTTGTATAGCGCCTTTCTAGTCTTTTCGACCACTCAAAGTGCTTTTACACTACATTTGCATTTACCATTTACCATTTACTCACATTCATACACTGGTGGAACAACCACCAGGGGTTCAGTATCTTGCCCAAGGACACTTCGACATGCAGCCTGGAGGAGCTGGGGATTGAACCACCGACCTTTGCCCGATTTATGGGCAACCTGCTCTACCTCCTTAACCACAGCCGGCCCATAATGCTCGCTTAGCAGATTGTCGGGCACGTCCTCAAAAACACTGGTGGAGAAACACACTGAGCTGCAGCACACAGCGGCAAGACATCTGCCCTCCCTACCAAACGTTAATTACCCTCCAGACGCTCAACTGACATAAAGTTGTTACCGTGATGTAGAGACAGTGCACAGTTAAAACGTTGCGTATGAAATATCAGTATTACATTAATAACTTACCATTCTCTGAAACCCTTGCTCCAGTAGCTGGTTCGGGTTGTTCTGCCTGTTTCGGGATCATGTACAGCTGAACCGAAGCCGTGGTTACCGGCATGTCAGGACCTCCCCTACTCTGCTTCTGATTGGCCGGTAGTCCTTACATAGGTACTGCGCATGTGCAACTCCTAACAAAGATCAAATAGAAGTGAGATGCTTCACTCTGTAGCGAAAACGGAGCGTTCAACACACAGGGTTTAAAAATGGTGTTTTTTGAAAATGAAACAATGTAAACCTGTTCTGGTACAACCCCTAAATTAAATTAAATGAACCTATAAATGAGCATAATATGACCACTTTAACTGATGTTAACCTACAAGGGACCGAACCAGCTTTTCATCATGTTTTTAGCACTTCAGAGGGGATTTAAGCTCTGAAACACGCCAATGATACAATTTCACTTTTCTCAGTTGTGTGCTGTTTGACTCTGTTGTTGTGCTGCACTGTGTGCCAGCATTTTGTTATGTCTTTATTAATACATCTGTTTTCAGTTGACATGAGTTGCGAGACAAAACCCACTGTATGAATTAGTCCCAGCCTTTATGGTGATTTATTATGTGAAGTTACTGCCAGAGAAATAACCCTTTCACAGTCGTGTTGACTCATTTCAAATCACTGGCTTGATGTGCAGAGTAAATAATAGCCATATACAGGTACTCAGATTTAAAACTTATTTATATAATTACCATAATCATTGTAATTTGATTTAATAACTGATTTAGTATGTATGATGGAGGTAGAGTATGATGTATGACTTCAACTGGCAGTAGGAAAACTATTTTCTTTTTCTTGGAAAATGTTTACAGATGAAGACGTTTAAATTGAATTTTCTTTTGATAGTTTACTCACCTGCTTCATTTTGTCTGTTAAGAAATCTAAAAGTTTTCGGGCATCTAAAAAGTACTCAAGCTTCTGAGACGCTAAATTCACTTTTTCCATGCAGTCCGGGTCACCAGCAAACATTTTGATTTTAAGGGGTCACAAGCCAAAAAGATTGGATTACTGAAACAAAGGTTAGGGAGGGTTCATAAGTCAGAGAGAGACAACTTGTTGTTGGAAAGTCAAAGGGCTCAGTTTAAAATTAGGGATCTCTTGATCACATATTTTATGTGTATATGAGTATCTGAGTCTGATATGATATTTACGATTTAATTCATTACCATGAAATTTGATACAGGTATGTGTGGTGTGTGTGTGTGTGTGTGTGTGTGTGTGCGTGCTTGTTTTACTATATTCATGGGGTCCAAAAACAGAGATTTACAATACTTGTAGGGACTAAAATGCTGGACTCCAGAAGTCTAAAGGGCTGTTTGAGGGTTAAGACTTGGTTTTAGGGTTCAGGTTAAAAAAAGGTTAAGGGTTAAGGTTAGGCATGTAGTTGTGATGGTTAAGGTTAGGATGAGGGGCTAGGGTGAGCATTGTGTCAATGAGATGTCCCCATGGGGATAGAGGAACAAACGTGTGTGTGTGTGTTTACGTTACAGACCCTCTGGGTTAAAGGTGTCATTCTTGACTCACCGTCTCCAACAGTGAGTCAGAGCTAATTTCTGGCCACATAATCTCTGTGAGAAGGAGTTTAGAGCAGCGAAGGCGGAGAGGAAGTATGCATTTGTGTGTCTGTGTTTCAGTTAATTTACTTTTCCGTGCATGTGTGGCTGGACTGTAATAGGGAATGTGAGTGCACTGTAGCCGACGAGTATTGACTCAGTGCTTTTCTTGAGCTCAGTTCCTGTTGCTTCGACTTCACATGAGGCTTGAGTTACTGACCTGCTGGTGGCTTCTGCATTCTTACACCTCTAACGCACATGTACACAGGTTGTACTTCCTGGTACTGTGCTTGTCTTTAGTTCCTCATTTTTATATATATGTTTGATCTTCTGTTTCTTTGTGGCGTTTATTACTCTATATTCCTTGCTCATTACTCTCTTAAGGAATGCTGCATTACCTCATTAGCTTCTCTCTCATTTCAGTCATCTCTTTCCCAGGCCTGCCGTTGTCTCGGTGCACATTACAAAACAGCAAAAACATTTCAGTATGGTAATCGGCCAATTCAAGGTGTCATCCAACACCCCAAAGTGTCATTCTCCTCTCTTGCCTTACCTTTCTGTGTTCATGTGTGTTCTTGTGTGAGCAGAGAGCAAGAAAGCAAAGAGGTGACGTGTGTGTGTGTGTGTGTGTGTGTGTGTGTGTGTGCGCGCTTTCCTCAGGGTCTTTGAGGGTGTTTTTGTGTTTCAAGAAACGCAATCCTATCTGCTTCACAGTGCTGCGTCTCTGCCCTCTGGGCCTCACCTGAGGTAATACGGTGGAAGTTCCCACAGCTTCAGTCGCAGCTCACCGTTG